CTATAATCATATGAATACAAAACAATAAACCTTTAAATCATAAATGAATATAAATACATATGTGTGACTATCTTTATCAGAAAAAAATCTCATAAGTAAATGTTCTTTGAAGAGAATAAACAGGTTCATTAGAAGGCAAGAAGATGAAAATCATAATGATAATAACTGGCAAAAATTGAAGCAAAGCGTGTATGTTAAACCCATCCGACCCGTTTACACCTTGTAACATCCGTAAAATACAACCAATTTAAAATTTTCAAAACAACCTGATTTTCATTAAAATGTTTACAAAAAGGTTTTCAATACAAATCATTTGAGTATTCCCAGAATCACATTGCTACAAAATCATGAGGAGCGGTACGATCGCGCCTTCGCCTTGCCACAGTCTCTTGGAGATCCTGAAAAACATTAAACCACAACTGTAAGCCCGAAAGCTTAGTGAGATACCCCCAAAATACCAACCACGTATACGCCCTTCCAGGCTACGACCTTCCGGTCCAAAACATATAAAACATACATAACATAACAGAACATAGAACAACCATGCATATCGGGTCTACCGTGTGACTGGTCCGCCGTATCGGGCCTTCAGTCCAACGGATCCATCCTCCGGGCCTAGTCATGTCCTTCGAGTCTACAGTGGGGTTGGTCCGCCCGCATCGGGCCTTCAACCCACCTGGTCCACTCTCCGAGTCTACAGTGTGACTGGTCCGCCCGCATCGGGCCTTCAGTCGGCCTGGTCCACTCTCCGAGCCTCGGCACGTCTGGTCCGCCCTCGTGGGGCCTACAGCCTATCCGGACCGCTCGCTGGGCCTTCGGAACAACCGGTCCGCCCTGGGTATCTTGGCCTACAGCACAAAGCAGGACCCGCCTCAACCCGTCTCCAGTCCAAACAACCATGTGCACAAAACATACATTCATATAACAGTCATAGCCAACAGACCGAGCAAACAGATCACATAGCATATCATTACCCTAACCGGGTTACCGACCTAACCGGTCACTAGCATAGCCTCACTCTGTATATCGGGAAAACTGACCTTAACAAGGCCTCCTAGCATGTACCATCCTAGCTACCAGGATGCAGACACATCAAACAATAACATAACAACCATAACCGAATCTCAGTACAATAAAGGGCCGGCCTTGGTGCCTTAGACCCTGTTGATATAGTGAGGATAACTCACCTCGACACTGCCGGCTGAAAAGATAAGACCCCGCTGCTCCGAACTCTGGCACGAACTCCTTCACTAAACATCAAAACATACAACTCCTTAAATACTCTTAATTACCAAAATACCCCTGGAAAACAACTGGTCAACCTTGGACGAGTCAAAGTCAACCCCTAACTGACCCTACTCGCCGAGTCGCCCCAAGACTCGTCGAGTCCAACAACTCTGAGTCCACTCGTACCCAACTCACCGAGTCATCCCTTGACTCACCGATTCATCGACTCAACCAGAAATATTGGGACTTCCTCGGCAAGACTCGCCGAGTCCATATGGACTCGTCGAGTCCAAGGCCATCTTCAACCTACTCGCCGAGTTGTTCTTCCAACTCGTCGAGTCCCAGGCCATCTTCAAGTAACTCGTCGAGTCCACCTATGTGACTCGTCGAGTACCACCGCTCTGAATCCATACAGAAGCATCGCAGGCCATGCAATTGATCCAAAACATAGATCCAACCTCCTACAATCCATCCATCACGTAAAGTGGCAAACTTTACGTGAATCTAACGAGATCTGAGCCATATTCACCTTAAAACCAAGGTTTGGGACATGGTGGCTTCACTTAGCACTCAAACACAGGAACTTTAATGCACTCCAGGCCTTCAATATTCCAGATCTGAGGTAGCAACCTCAGATCAATCCTCCAAACTCCAAAACATTCCAAGACATACTCCCCACAAACCCCAAAATGATGAAACTAGGAATGCACAGCCTAAGGACGAAGATATTACCTCCAAAAGATGCCTCAATAGCAGCCAAACTCGAATCCAAGCAAAGCCCTTTGATCCAAGCCACTTCTCCTTCAAGATCTCTTCAAACAACACCTCTCCAAGCTCTAATTTGCTCCACAAATGATCTCTCCACGAATTTAAGGTTTCTGGAACTCAAGGGGGACATAAGGGAGGCTGTGGAGGAGTATAATGCTCTTTATATAGGGCTCAACCCTGGAATTTAGGGTTTTCTCCATACAGCACCTACTCGCCGAGTCCATCCCATGGACTCGCCGAGTAGGCCACTTGACACGCGACCATGACTGCGACCTGACTTGCCGAGTCAGCCATGGTCTCGCCGAGTCATCCTCTAAACTTGCACTTTCAGCCCTTCAACTCTACTCTTGCGATTTCGGGATGTTACACACCTGTTCTTGTACCCATTCTAGGTCCAAAATTGAACCCGATGAATTGAGTTGTGGTTCTTGGGTTCATACCATAGAATTTTTTTTGAAAATCTCGTTGCATCACCTTCTTGATTGTTGAATAAGCCATTGAAGGCATCTTCAGATCCTGGTGCTTTGTTCTTGTCAGGATGAACTTTCAAATAGTGTTTCTTGTAAGCTTTTCTAACATCTTCAACACCAGAAGTTTTCTCGAGCCCTAGGATATTGTAATAATCTTTTTTCCTTCTGATATCCCTCACGATTGTGATCTGTTCTTTTATACATGACCCGGATGAACATCCAGTTCCCGGAACCCTACGCCGACCGTTAGCACCGGAACACGTACTTGTATAGATTTGGGTTCCATGGTGTTCGATTGTGAGGAAGGTGATCACAGTGATATACAATCGCTTGAAGATGACTTTATTGCTTGACTTGATGAATTAGGTAGAAGATGATGAAGGCTGTAGAATGCATTCTCCCTTTGCGTTAGCGGCTAGGTTAAAGAAATAGAGAGGGAAAACGTATACATAGAGGAGAGAGAAAGGTGGAACAAGTGGGTCAGATACATGATATTCAGGGATCAATTAAATATAAATTACTAATTTAGCTTATAAATTGGTTGGTCAAGAATTGTTCTCACGCTCTCAACCTTTTTGGTGTTCTCATTTAATCATACTATATATATATATATATATATATATATATATATATATATATATATATATATATATATATATATATATATATATATATACTAGGTTATAACCCGTGGACACCACGGATTAGAAAATAAAAAATAATTTTATTTAAAGTGATACTTAATAATTAAGCCATGATAATAAAAATGTTAATAAGTAATAAATATAGAAGTTTTATCAGTAGTTTCACTATGATATGATGATTCGTAAAATTATGAAAATATAGTGGTTTGAATATCCGATCGGCAATTTGTATTTGTAGATATATTAAAAAAAATATGATTTTTGTAGAATTGAATCAAAATTTCAATAAAATATACACAAAAATTGATATGAATAATAAAATTTAACAAAGTTTTTACAAATTTCTAAAAAGTTCTTTATACACAACATAAGATGTTTTATTTGTTAGTGTGTCATCTATATCTAAAATTAACAATTTTAATTTCAAGTATGACTTTTTATTTTTTTTCATCACTGTTTAGCATTCGTGACATCAATGTTCTTCTCTAATAAATAATGAAAAATAATAAAGTAAAGTTAAAAATAAAATTATTAATAATTTCATAATAGGATTAGAGACTATTGGAAACTCCTATAATTCATTTAAAATATTTATGATAGTTACAAAATCAATATTGACATTATACCAAATATTAATTCATTTATATATTAATGGTACTAAAAGTTAAATATATAAAATAAAATAATAATAAGTTTAAGTCTATACATACATTAATCCCTCCACCCACCAAACACACACCTGCTGCCTACATTGTAACACACAAACACGTATATTAATCATACAACCCAATATGTTGCCCTAACCCTATCACCGTAACCCGCCAATTTACTTCTCGGGCACCACTGCCAACCCTTGTTCCTTCTCTATTTTTCAAAGCAAACCCAATCTCCGCATCGGTCGATCAAACATCAGAAGCAGAGAAATCAAATATTTATATTTGAAATACATTCATTAAGCACCTTTTGCACAATTGATTACAAATCATGACGAAACTTTTGAGATTGAAAGTGATTTGGGTCTAATGGCGGTAAGATTCAACAAATTACTCCAGGAACTGAACCTCTTTGTTCATTATTTTAATATCTTTATAAAAATTTACATGTAGTAAGTTACATGTTGAATCTGCAGGAATTATCTCTTTGATGATGATAGACACATAAAGTAGAAAGACAAAATATTGCTAAGAGCGAGTATGAAAGAAATTATTAGGTACTTTTAATTTAATTTTTTCAGCAACTATAACTTGAAATTTTGGGATTCGATATTTCTAAATATTAGGCGATTTGGTTCAAGGTATTGTTTTGATACATTTCAAATAAATAAGAATTTGATTTTACTAATTTACCTTTCATATTTGATGAAGACTTGCTGAATCTCCTTCAAATATGAAAAATTGACTACGAAACTTAATGTCCAAATATAATCTATATTTTATCTTGTTGGTTTTGGGAATATAAACATATGTTGCAAAAAAAATAATAACGTAGACATTAAAAAAAAATAAAGCTAAATAAGATTAATGGACCACAAGTCAATTAGGCACTTTAGATTTGCTCCATAGGGTAGTCAATTTACAAAAATTCCAATGATTAATTATATAAGAACATTTTGTGTTAATGCTTATATTGTAGTTATGATTATTTGGGGTATGGAGCCTCCACTGGCAAGGTAAGCCAAGATTCAAGATGTATTTCGTTTTGGTTTTTTCTTCCTATATGTTACTGTGAAGGGTATTTTACACATTTGGATACAAGCCGAGTGCTTTGATTATTTTATTGGCATTAGTATATATGCAGAAAGAAAGAGTGAGCTTAATTTGCAACCAATACATACTATGACATACAGGCTGTTTACAATTGTTTAAAAATATTATGGAATCAAGCAGGAGACATGATCTTATATGCACAACCGGTTTGCAGTGGGCCCATGTTACACCTGGCTTCTCGACTACAAAAATTGAGGAGTTTTGTTATACATAGTGCTATAATTTCACGAATAAGTGACATTCTGGTTCGATTTTTTTAAGGTAATTCACAATTTTCACTTCAACTATTTGTCCCCCAATTCATTCGTGCTTCAATTTGTTCATCCTGTTTTCTTTTGTTTTTGATACAGAGTATTGACAAAGCACAGAAACTCAATTTCCTAGTTCTAATCATCAATGTAAGTCTCTTTTTACCCATTAACTGATGTCTGGATAAACTTAGTAAATGTTAGAAATAGCAACTTACTTTCATTTATTTGCGTATTATAGCATCATATTTCTAGTTTTCTATAGTACAAAGTTGTATTTTCATTTTTTTTCACTTAAAATGATTGTAATTTGAGAAGGTGCAAGATTAATAAAAAGGGTAGCATTGTTCTTTTTCAATTTAAAAGAAATCATGGCAGCTTTTTTCACAAGATAACTTGGTAATTGCAAACTTCAATGTCAAGATTAATATGAAATAAAGTTAAATCGTAAATATAATTTTACTTTTATATTTATAATCAAAATAAAAGATTTATTACATAAAACAAAGTCCAGTTTGTAATCAAATTCAAACAAAAAATCGTATCATTGTAATTTGAGTGGGTGCAAGATTAGTAGAAAAGGATAGAATTGTCCTTTTCTATTTAAAAGAAATAATGGCAAAAGTATATTGCCATAAATATTACTTTGATTAAAAAAATGAAAAACTTAAACTTTATGTTAAATTTGTATTAAATGTAATCACCAATTACAATAATTATGATAAAAAAATGCAATAAAACTGATATTATTTCTGAACATGAACAAAGAGGACAAATATGCCCTTTTGTTTATAGTTTATGAAAAAACAAAAACAAATGGTAGGAAATACAAACATATATCATACTACATAGATAAACTTTATGTCTGATAAACAAAAAATATGATGCCATAACAAAAAAATCCAATTTATAAATACAGAATATTTTATGAATGTAACACAGACAAACCATTAAAAAAATCCTCAGTAACAAATGTTTGAACCTTCTAGCACACAATGTGAAAATACAGCCATGCAAAATAAAAATTTGTAATTGTTCTTTAAAAGTAACAATTAAATTCCAAATTCATATCCAAATCAAAACGCAACCACTTTTTTCTAACTTTAACTTCAAAATACCTTTATGAGGTAAATTTGTTTTCATAATGAAAGTACAATGTCTAGATGCTTAATTGATTTATAAATCAACGTCTAAAGAAATAATCACAATTTATTTTTTGCATTTTTTATCATAATTGTTGTAATGTTGATTACATTAAATACAATTTTAACAGAAAGTTTAAGTTTTGCATTTAAACATTATATTAAAAGAGTTTTAAAAAAATCGTTACAACAGAAAAATATTATTTATGAAAACACCGTTACACCAATTATGCTAAAAAATGACAAATACTGAAAAACCAGATCACGAAGAGCATAAAAACTTTGGTAATCTTGATTTCTGGTTCTTTATTCTAAGAATAATAAAACGATCTTAACATTAAATGGTGTATAATTGTAATAATAAATCTGACATTGCTAAATCGTGTATTGGTAAATGGTGTTTTTAACTAAACAGTTAGAAGAAGAAGAGGACGAAGAAGAATAAGGAAAAGATGAAGAAGAAGATCGGTCATATTCTGAAAACATGACAAATACTGCGAAACCAGATCACGAAGAGCATATAAACTTTGGTAATCTTGATTTCTGGTTCTTTATTCTAACAATAATAAAATGATCTTAACATAATGTTAAATAAATACTACAAATTATTTTGAAAATACTAACCTGATATGTCCTTATGGAAGCGTTGCAGGATTAAGATGGCGGACGATGATTAAGAAGTAACCCTGGTACCGACAGGATGCAATCAAATAATTAAGTTAGCAAGTTAAATGATTGAATAAATTACGTTAAAAATAGTGAAGAAGAACTAAAGATCAATACTGTTTGCATAGAATTCTCTGAAGTAGAATACTGAAAACAAAAGAAACGTATAAATGGTATGTACTTGTATATATTTTGGTATTTCATAATTTGGTGCAGATTTTTTGGGATTTATTCACTGGAAATTATTTAATTTCCAATCATAATAAACAAACTTCCATATTAAATGGGGTATTTGAAATTTGAAACTTGAATAACCGATATTTTCATATTATTTGCAGATCTTTTATTCTTTTTAATTATTTGATTGCATTTGTAGATATTAGTTTTTTCCGGATTTATTGTCCCCAATTGAACTGAATGGCATTTATGTAATTACACTTGAAAAAAAGAAGCGGGAAAACTGACTTTTAGGAGGTTAGGAGAATGACACGTGGCGTTATTCTACTTATTTATTAGGATAGGGGATATATATATATATATATATATATATATATATATATATATATATATATATATATATATTATAGCTAATTTATAAAATAGGACACAAAAATATTATGCTTTTATTTTTTTAATACTATATTAGTTTTTGTTTCAACTTGAATAACATATTTTTCACTTTTATTAAATTTCATTGGGATCTTTCTAGATAACATGGTTTGCTATATTTAGTTGGAAAATACGAAAATCGAAAAAGTATTAAAACTTAGTTTATTTATAAAAATGAAAAATATAATGTCATAATCAAAAAAATAAAATAAATGCATAACGTATTTTGTATAATTAATTGAAATTAAAATTAAAATTAATATTAAAAAGAGTAAATTACATGAATGGTTCCTATGGTTTGGGGTAATTTATGTGTTTGGTCTCTAACTTATTTTTTTAACTTAGAAAGTTCTTACTATTTGTTTTTATTATACGCTTGATCTTATTGTTTGTTTTTGTTATGCGCTTGATCTCTATATTACCTAAAAAAGATTATTATTTAAATAGGGAAATATAATAAGACATCTAAGGTAAGGTGTCAATGTGAGGATGGTGAGATTTTGGGCGTGTTTATTTAAATAAATTAAAAAATCAATGGTAAAATAACTTTTTTAGGTAAGATAAGGACCAAAAGTGTAACAAAAACAAATAGTGGGAACCTTCAGAGTTAAAAAAATAAGTTAATGACCAAACGCACAAATTGTCTTAAACCATAAGAACCATTCGTGTAATTTACTCTATTAAAAAACACAAAGTTCGTCTTGAAACAAAATAATAATGTCAAAATAAAAAAGTAAAAGTAAAGATATAGTAGTATCTTTTGAAATCAAAGTGGTTTGTGCAACTTACCTACAATATTTGCCTCAAACGGCCAAACCACTATACAACACTCGCTCTCTATTCGCTACATTTCGGTTCTTTTCAAGGTCCTAAATCCTCTCTCGTCGGCTTGAACAGTAAGTTTTCTCCTTTTGATCTTGTTTTGTCAAAGCAAATCGTTGTTTATAGTTGAATAATTACATCTTATTTTTCATTTGTATCTGGATTTCGGAAATTGTTTGATTCTATTGCAATTCATATTTAAATGATATTCTGATTAGATTTCGTTGTTTTTAATCTCTAATCGAGGATTGATTTGTTTTTTACAAAGAAATTGATGAGTAACGCCTGTTGAATTTTAATGTAAGTGTCGGCATTGTGTTGCTTTAGTCGTTTTCATGTATAGAGAATTGATGCGAATGAATCGTTTACTGATCGCAATCTTGTAGTCAATCGGAAACTCGATAGATTGGTGGATCCGATTCGAACTAATGTGTCAATTGAATGTATATGGTTTTTTAGAGGTTTGTCCAAATTAATTTCCTAATTTTAGGGTTCCAGGCTGTTATAATCTTTTTCACAAATTAGCTCTAGCAATTAACTCCGAAATCGTCTGGTGATGCTGTTTATCCTTTAATTTCTTCTTCTTCTTCTTCTTCGTGTTGATAGATGGACTGGCAAGGTCAAAAGGTAACAGAGCAACTGATGCAGATAGTGTTGGTGGTGTTTGCGATGGGAGCATTCTTGACAGGGTATATCATGGGATCGTTTCAACTGATGATGTTGATATATGCTGGAGGTGTTGTTCTAACCACACTAATCACCATTCCTAATTGGCCTTTCTTTAATCGACATTCTCTCAAGTGGTTGGACCCTAGTGTGATCCAAAAGCATCCAAAACCTGTTGCAGGTTTCATTTCAAAGAAGAAGCTTCCTAAGAAGTAGTAGGAGTACCTCTCGAAGAAAGAAAAAGAGAATTAGCTTTTGTTTCTGGTGTTTGTAATGCAAAACAAAACCTTCCTTTTATAAATTGTACAACTTTGGCAATGGATTGGAATTGAATATGTGGTTTTGCTTTGCTCACTTTTTGAGTTCTAAATTAGTGTTCAAGCAATGCTAACTGGGAAACTCCTTCAGATAATTATATTCTTTAAAAGTGTGTAAATGATAAGGATATGTTTGGTTTCACAATTTACAGTTTTCTATTAAAATTTTCAACTGAAAATGCGTTCGGTTGATTGAATTTGAGTTTCAAAAAAATCCAAGAAAATGAACCTTTTTTTGTTTTCCACATTCTATATAAATTAGAAAAGTAATTTTTATAGTTTTCTAAATTTCTAAAACTGAAAATGAACAAATATTTTTTTTTTCTTTTTTAAATTTCATTAAAAACTCAACTATGTTTTCTAGAAAAATGAAGACAATCATCAACAACCAAACACACCCTTAGGTAGTGTTTAGTTGTGGAAAATTCTTTAGTTTTTTCAAAAAAATTATCTAAAAAAATTGAAAATTTTGAAAATGTGTTTTTTTGACGACTTTTCCAAAAATTTATTGAAAAATGAAAATTGTTTGTTTTCTAAAATTACAAAAAACTGATACTTATCGTCTTTCATATTTTTTCGTTTTCAAAAATATATAAACACACACATCCAACACCACCCACACCCCATCAATCCGCTTCTACTCCATCCATATTCACACCTTATACCACACACATAACCTATTGTACCCATCCCAACTTTTGTAAAATCCTCTTTCGAGACGTTTCTTAATTTAAGGTTTGTGGATAGTAATTTGATTATGTAAAGACTTTGGGTTTTGAGGAAGTAAAGTTAGACCTTATTTAAGGTTAATAATAGTAGTTATAAACATAGTTGTCAAAATCGCGATCCTGATCGTAGGATCGTACGACCCTACGATCCTAGGTATGAAAAATGATCTGGATAGTAAAAGTATCGTATTTGGGGTAGGATCGAGATCCGATCTGATCCTACCTTCCCTTGTCTTTTTTTTTTTTTTTTTTTTTTTTTTTTTTTGCAAATGAATTTTTTTTACCACTTTATGTCTTTTACCCTTTACCAATTTACAATTTATCATTTTGTATTGTGGCTTATGACTAATATTTTGAAGTTTTTATATCTTTTGAATGAAAAATTGAATGTTTGAAATATTTTTCATGATTAAAAGTTATAAATTAAAATTATATTTTATTTTGTGGGATCTTAGGATCTCGATCCCGATCTTACGATCCCGATTTTGTAAACCCAAAAACGATCCTAGGTAGGATCCCGATCTTGACAACCTTGGTTGTAAGATCTAAGCCCTTGATTTGTGTGTTGGAACCAAAGGGTAAAAATGGAAAAGTTATATGTTAGGCTTCTTGCATGAATTGTGGTTTTTAGTTCGACACGTGTTAAGCCAAAAGTAACTAGATAGAATTGTAGAGCTCTTAAATACATTTCCTTGCATATGAAGAAGACCGAAATTAGAGTTGAAATGAAAAAGTTATGTATGTTTGAAGTTGAAATGGAAGTTGGGTGTTTTGCTCTACGCAGGGCGTAGATGCTGAATTTTTGGATGCGATTTTAATGACCTACGCATTGCATAGGTTATGTTACACATGGAGTAATCACTGCAGATCAAAACCCTAATTCTTTGGTTTTGAGCCCTATTTAAGGGCTCTAACTTCTGGGAAACCCTCTCATGACCAGCCTTTATCACCTAAGATCATTCCTTGAGAAACCCTGACATACTCTTACTTGTTTTAAGCATTGACGTCATTTATGTGCTTATTTCTCCATTAGAATGTTGAATCTTAAAGATAACTCCTAGAATGTTGTGAGTCCATGGGATTGTTGGTAGTCCCCATGGTTGCTAATAACCCGTGAGATGTGTTGTTAATCCACAAGGCGTGTTGTTAGCCCACTAAAAGTGCTGATAGTCCTCAAGGTTGTTGATAACTCATAGCTGATTATTATGTTGTGTTGTATTAGATATTTTTGGAAACTCACTAAGTTTTGTGTTTACGATTGTGGATTAAATATTTGTAGGTACTTATCGGATTGCAAAAGCGACTGTACACACACATTATGATTTGAATTTCCACATTATCTTCTTTAACTCTGATTTCTGAATAATGATAGATGAACAAACGGTTGCACTGCATGTAATTTCGTTAAAATGGATGTTTTTATATTTTTCAAAATGAAAATTTTAGTTGGCATTTTTGAGATGTTACAACTTTGCACATCGACCACTAGTTACCTGTGACATCCCCAAATTTCCCGGCCAGAAAAGACCGATTTAATTTATGCTTCTTAAAATCAAATCAGAAAAGTCTTTATAAAAGATGTTGCGGAATTGGTCCCCAAAACAAAATATGATAAACGTTTGTCAAAACCTTTCTTTAAGAAATATATCATTTCCTTTTATATCAAAACCTCGGGATGTCATGTTCCAATACAGATCAAAAGCATAAACAAGATATTATAAGCCTTACGACAATCAATTGTAACTACTGGCCTATAATCCAAAATTCACTCATCATCATCATCCGACTATGTTCGGGGTCCTCTACCTATAATATAAACAGCTGAGTGGGTCAGGCTTGGAAGCCTGGTGAGCATATAGGGTTTTCAACCCACAATACATAAATTTATTATGTTTAAACATCAATCAATCAACCTAATTACCCCAAACCCCATTATTTTATTTATTTCTTAAGGGTTTACCCTAAGAATCAACTATCCCTCCTTCCTAAGGATTCATCCTAAGGAATAGACACAAAGTCAGCTCGTGACCGGGGTTTATACAACGGGCACTAATTCCATAGCTTCCAAAGTTTACTCAACATGTGCTAAGTCCATAGCTCTCATTTATCGACAATATTATTTACAGGTGTTCTCTCCTACAATACATGTCAATAGGTTTTAGAGTACAACAAAAGAACATATAGTTCATTACACCTACAGGTTGCGGGCCTGCTAGTGTTCCATATACTGTCTAGAATAGTCCATGGTTGTCATCCATACTCTGCTGAATGACTACAACAACAACATCGAGGCCTCTCATCTTTCTAACACACATCAACTATTTCATCCACCTATGTTCTACCCAACATATTTTGTAGATAAAAAGCATATACAATTTAAAACTTATATAAAACATCAATTCAACAGTTACCTCAATTAAACAATTAATATATTTACACATAACACATATTTCAAGGTAAATACTTCATATCTATGTGTAAATTGAAAGTAACTACACACTCACATGATTTAATGAAAACCAGGCAGCAATTCGTTTCCTAAAACGATCGTTTCTAATAAAACCGGGAGTTTTATTGAGAAACCGGGCTCTGCGAATGGTCGGGCTTCAAAACCGAAAAGATAAATTTTTCGGGCTTCACGGGCACTTCGTGGCGTATTCCGGGGCTTATAATCGATACTGGGGCTTCGGGGGATGATAATATGAAAGAAATATGGAGAAAGGGGCTAAAAATGACAAGTTTTCAAAATACCCCGGGAGGTCTCGCACCCTTCTATTTATAGGGTGGAGCTTCTGATCGGACGGCTGAGAAGGAACTACACGTCGTAGATCCGAGGGCTCGCAGGCGAAGGCTCGCACGAGGGCTGCACGTGCGAAGGGCTGCTGGCTTCTTGTGATTGGTCCGAGGCGTGTGTCCGATGCGCAGGTGGTCAACATGTGCGAGGGTCTCGGTGGCACTCGCTGATTGGACCGTGGAGTCGTCTTACACGTGCGAGGCTGAGAGCTAGGTGCGAGGCTCGGAACACGCGACAAGCATTGCGAGGCTCGGACTAGGCTGCACACGTGTCGCTCCTCGGATGTGCCACGGCTTCGGATGACTCAGCAGCTCGGTGACTCAGCAGGTTGGTGACTCAGCAGGACATGTGGCACTTTTTCAGCGAGGATGACGTGGCAACTTGATTTCACCTATTTGTGGTAATTTTGAATTTTTTTTCAGTGAATCTGCGGTGATTTTGAATTTTTCAGCTACTGTGGTGCTCTGATTATATCACATCCATAAATTGAGTTAAAATTCAGCTTTTTGTTCTGTGTTTTATGTTTAGGTAATACTTAAAAAAGTAAATTCCTAGATACACAAAATAAAGAATCAGTCAAGTTGTGGCTCTTGATCCCCACAGATAGAATCATACAAAGAATTTGTTTCTGTTATTTGAAAATCATACTAATTGGTGCTTTATTTCTGTTTTTTGATGTTGTTTTTGGTAGATGGATTCTAATGTCATATAAGCGATGTTATTTTTTGTGTTGTTCTTGGTATCTTGAATTTGTTCAAGGGTTTTGAAATATTGTCACCTGCAAGTATATGGACATCAGCCTACATTATTTTGATCTTTGTTTTGGGTGATTTTGCTTTCGTTTTATAAGTATTTACATAGATTGTTGTATTAAGGGGGTGTTTGGCTTAGCTTTTCACAAATCAGAGCTGGAAAAGGTTTTCTGGTGTGCGAGTCTCTGCTGTTTGTTATGCTCATTTATGGTGATGGTTGCTTGACTAAACTTTTTCAGGGCGGGTTGACGAAGACGAAGACGAAGACTACTCAATTGAAGCCCATTTGTGCATATGCGAAAGCTCGTAAATACGAAAACTGCAAAAAGTAAGCTTTATAGATGAACCAAATTTCATCATGCCCTTTACATCACTTTACTCAGTTGCTTAAAACATGCATTTCCCAGAGAGATCTCCTAACCGGAAAATCCCTCCACACCCTCTATATTAAAACCGTCATCCCTACTTCCATCTTCCTTTCCAATCACTTCATCCTCCTCTACTCCAAATGCCGCCGCCTCTCCGCGGCCCGCAACGCCTTTGATGTTATCCCACATCCAAATGTCTTCTCCTTCAACACAATCGTCTCCGCTTACGCGAAAGAATCCCAACCCCTCATTGCCCACCAGCTGTTCGACCAAATTCCTCAACCAGATATTGTGTCTTACAACACCCTCATTTCAGCTTACGCAGATCGAGGAGACACCCAGCCAGCTCTTCACTTGTTTATGGATATGCGTGAGTTGGGTTTTGACATGGATGGCTTTACATTTTCCGCTGCCATCACTGCTGCTTGTAAAAACATTTCTTTGACACGTCAGCTTCATAAATTGGCAATTTCAGGTGGCTTTAATGCTTATACTTCGGTCAGTAACAGCCTCATCACGTATTATAGCAAAAATGGGTATCTGGAAGAGGCCAAATCCATTTTTTATGATATGGGTAGCAACAAAGACGAGGTGACATGGAATTCAATGATCGTGGCACATAGCCAGCATCGAGAAGGATTAAAAGCACTTGCATTGTATCGGGAAATGGTTCATTTGGAGTTACCAATTGATTTGTTTAGTTTCGGTAGTGTCTTATCTGCATTTACCTGCCTGGAAGATTTACATGGTGGGCTTCAGTTCCATTGTCAATTAATCAAGAAAGGTTTCCACCAAAATACCCATGTAGGAAGCGGATTGATTGATCTCTATTCAAAATGTCACGGTGGCATGTCAGATTGTAACAAAGTATTTCAAGAAATTATGGAACCGGATATAGTCCTATGGAACACCATGGTTTCTGGGTATTCTCAGAACGACAATCTTTCAGAAGAAGCTCTCTCTTGTTTTATACAGATGCAAAGAGAAGGTTACCACCCAGATGATTGCACCTTTGTTTGTGTAATCAGGGCAAGCTCTAATCTCTCCTCACCATCTCAAGGCAAACAGCTTCATTCTCTTGCTCTTAAATCTGACATCCCATCAAACAAAATCTCTGTAAACAATGCACTGATCTCCATGTACTCCAAATGTGGAAACTTGCAAGATGCACGCCGACTGTTTGACAAAATGCCAGAGCATAATACCGTCACATTCAACTCACTAATCACAGGCTACTCAAATCATGGGTTTCAAATACAGGCATTGGATCTTTTCCAACACATGCTTAACACAAACATATCCCCCACAAGTATAACCTTCGTATCTATCTTATCAGCATGTGCACACACAGGAAAAGTTGAAGAAGGCAGAAAGTATTTTACTTTAATGACTGAAAAGTTTAATATCGAACCAGAAGAAGAACACTTTTCATGTATGATAGATCTTTTGGGTCGAGCAGGTAAACTTGATGAAGCTGAAAGACTGATTGAGTCAATGCCGGTCAAACCTAGTACAGTCTCATGGGGTGCTTTACTTGGAGCATGTAGAATTCATGGAAATCTTGAATTAGCAGTAAAGGCAGCTAAACAATGTCTTGTTCTAGATGCTTCTAATGCAACCCCTTATGTGGTTCTATCACACATGTATGCTAGGGCTAACAAATGGGAAGAAGTGGGAAGAGTCAGGCAGTTAATGAGAGACAATGGGGTGAAAAAGAGTCCGGGGTGTAGCTGGATTGAGGTAAACAAGAAAGTACATGTTTTTGTTTCAGAAGATAGTTGTCACCCCATGTTGAAGGAGATTAATGAGTTTTGGGAAGAGTTGTTGAAGAAGATGAAGGAAGTTGGATATAGAGATTATGGAATTGTTGAAGAAGATGAATGTGGGAAGTTGTGTTTGGATTATTGATGAGTACAGAAGGAGAGAGTTTGTATGTGGTGAAGAGATGTGAGAAAGTTTCATTGTTTTTAAGGAAGGAAAATGTTTGATGTGGAGATATTGTTGATTGATTTTTTACACATATGACAATTCAAGAAGATATTTAAACAGAAACCCTTTTGAGAAGAAACCATGAGGAGAGGGAATCACTACAAGTGGAAGGTCAAAAAAGGAATTGCATTTACATTTTACGTTACACAAAAAAGCATTGACGAGATATCTATCAAAGCAAAAGTCATTTTAAGGTAGAAAAGCAATGCTTGTTACACAAGTGTGATGGCGATTTGCTCCCATGATATGATTACTTTTGTGTATGCCGGCTGAATGAGATTCTCGTATATTTTATGATGGTATTAGACCTGAAAACAAATTTCCAGTAGTACTAACCGGTTGTAAGGTTTTACAGATTTTATTTTACCTTGTTTATTTAATCTAGTTTTTATTACTTAACTCAAACATATTTTTGCATTTATAGATAATTTCTTTGTTATTAATGGTGAGTATCTGAACCTAAAGGGATTTTTAGTTCCATAGTGAGAGGTATCATCATCCTAATTGGCATCATGTTAGTAGAGTCAGAGGAAAGAAACAAATTATTTGAGTTTATGCATTCACCTGTTGGCAAAACGGGCATTTAGAAAAAGATTTCATTTTTTGAAATATATACCAAACTCTCTATTGATACGTCAAATGTTGATTTCACATGCATGTTGTACATTGCATAATTACAAACGGATGAAAGATAGGGAATCACTTCATCACTAGATATGTTGATTAAAATCTTCAAGACCTTGAAGAAAATGTGAACGTGGTTAAAGAGGGTTTTCTTTTGAATATAATGGGTCGGGATGAAATGTTTCAAGTCGTTAGAGACATTTGTAATCTTGATAGCATTAAAGCGGTAAGATTTAAATTATTAAAAAATAATGTTTGTTTTTTATGTTGAATGATACATTGGGTTTTATAAAAATGTTGATTAGTATATTAATTTTGTTTCATTTTTTGTTCAAATATTGTATAGAAGTGTAGAAAATTTTTAAAAAAGTTTTTAAGGTCAATCAATGTTTGTATATGAATTTGTCTTTCCCTAATACCTCAGACTTAGAAACTGCTTAAACGATTGTTTTTTCTTCTTCTTCTTCTTCTTCATGTTACAAGTAAATAAATAGTCCCAAGTGAAAACTGCAAAAAAATGTGTCAACATTGAGTATATGATTCTGCCATGATTAAGACCACCAGCGAAGTCCAACCAGTAAAAGGGTGTGCACCCTTCCCACTTCCCTTTTTCTGATCATACTGTTCCCATAAATAACCTGTCTCCTTATACTTGTTCATCACATTCCTGTTGCATGCACAATTTCAACCATACATACGTAAAAATGTAGAGGTAAATTGTAAAATTAAATAAAGTACTATAAACATTATACCGAATCAGATTGCCCCTCAACTCATTGTAAATTAACTCGGCTCTTTCTCTATATGGGCCTTCCTCTACAACAACAAATAATACACACAGTTAGTTTCAAGGTGTATCTATGTATGCATATAATATAAGAATTAAATAATATTGTATGCCTTTTGAATAATGATGTAGGGATGAAAGAATTAAGTAATTCATGTTCATCCAAACTGGGCCTCTCCAATATGGTGGGTCATGCTCCGTATTTCGCCTCATGTACATCGAGCTATATATATAAAAAAAAAAAAAAAAAAAATCAATGTTGGTTATATATAAATAATAAATAAATCCCACGACACCTTGTTTTAGAGAGGGATCGCAGGCCAAAGTCGGTCCACAAAGTGCTGTTGTTGTAAATAATGTCGAGTTGTTTTTCTAGAATCCATGAGTTCTGGATGTATGTATGTATGTTGATTAGAAACAAACATGTAAATAATAATGAAATAGGAAGAAATGATATTATTATAATGAATAGTTAATTAATTAAACTTACAGATGGAATGATCTTCCAGATGAAGGGAAAAAGACTGACATATCCGATATGTGGAACCAGTCTCAATTCTGGTTTCTCTAAAACTTGTCTAACAAGCTCTAGACTTGGGGGTTTCCCATTTTTCTCCACTAGTTGTCTTCTTAATCGAACCTAAATATGTCCATTCATTCACTCAAAATGTCAAAAATATATAAATTATAATTTTGTATGAAGATTATATACTATGAAAGGACATAACATAACATAACGGGTGGATACAACTTAACCTTTTCTGTGTGATTTCCATAATCAAAATAAGCACCATAATCTTTGTCAAAGTGCATCTGGAAAACAAGAAACAACATTTAGAATCAATATATATATATATATATATATATATATATATATATATATATATATATATATATATATAACATAAAATTTGACTTTAAAAAACAAATAAAAAACCTTATTGAGAAGATCAAAATCAGCAAGTAGGTTGGCTGTGTCCCCATATAGGTTGGTGGATTGTTGTTTGTTGATAAGTTGATTTGAGATGGAGTGCATGCAATCGGCTGCAAGAAGCATCCAACATCTGAGATCCAGGTGGCGCTCTTCTTCACTTGGATGTGAGGCACGTGGATAATCATCCAAACCAGAAGATAATGTCTAACAAAACATTTCAAAAATTAATTGACACTTGGTTTACTGATATAACTTTTGTAAATAAAATTAAAAAAAAAAAAAAAAATAGCAATTTAAATGAGGTTGAAGATATAAAAATAACCTTTGGGTTTAGTTCAAAGATGGTTTGACTCTCTTTTCTTCCATGCCAGTAATAGCTGCTTTTATGCTGGCCTGTCGTTTAAAATATATATATATATATATATTTTTTTTTTTAAGGCTCAAATAAAGTTGAAGTTTCAACATCTCAAATAAATTTTAATTACTCTTCCATCTTTTTACCACCAACACTGTTTCTAAGCAAATAAAGTTGAAGCATCCAACATCTTTTTTACCTGATTGTGTTGTATTAAACCATTGAAACCATGCTTCTAAACGACCAAAAGACCGTTCAAAAAAAGCAGAAATCTCCTTGCTTTCTGTTGCAGAGAACTTGTTTTTCATCATCCCACAAACCAGATCTGAAAACCAAGCTTCATTTTATCAGGAGTCATATCCTTGAAATATTTGAATCAAAAGTTTTTTTTTTATAAACAAAAAGCAAATTTACCTTGTAAGACTAAAAACAATGTTGGTGGATTTCCATTACTCGGGCGTTGAACAACAAATTCTTCAGGTACCTTACTGTAAATATATAACAAGTTATTTTCACAAAAATATACTCTACTACAATAAAAAATCAAGATCAATGGTGTACCTTAAAGCTTCAGCTCCTAAAATTTGCTCACGTGGAATCCAACCATCAATGTTCATAAGATCTAACCAGTGTCCAATAATATCCAAGGAAATATGCATATCCCATCGCCTACACAAAAATTTAAAAAAAAATGAAAACCCAAATTTTGGAAAGGAACAATTCAGAAAGAAAAAAAAATGTATAATTTATATACCAGATTAATAGTTGATGAAAACCCTCATCCCATAAGAATCCTCTAGGAAAAAATGGGCGACTTGGAACAGCAGTGTACAGCTCAGCGGGCCAATATAATACAGAATCACCACCAGATTTATGCTGTTTTACACATATTCATGATAGTTTATAAATAAATATTTTAAGCATAAATATTATTAAGGAAGAATAACAAACATAGAAATTTACCTTAGAGGGTTGTGGAAACAATATTTTTGATTGGCCATAGAAGTATCCAATCCCTCCTAATAGATTTCCAATAGCAGCCTTACCAACTTCCATAGATTCAGAATCAAGCTGCAAATAAACATTTAGATCAAGGGTATTTATGTAATTTAAACAACAACAATGAAAAAAAGACAGTAAGGAGCAACAGCTTCTGTGAAGGGTACCTTATCTGATGGATTAAAGATTTTATTGAACTTATCATCAAATTCATTTTCCTTCTTCTGAAGATGACTAGTAAGTGATGTACCTACATATAAGAAAGAAATATAAACACTATAATACTATTATATAAGATACTATTACTGATATTGGTAACTATTACTTATATTGAAAAATTATTAGTGTAATATCAAGTACCAGTTAGGCTGTTGACACGTTCTTGGATTTCAGCATCATCAATATCAGTTCCAGTTACAAAAGCAATGTCTGCTTTAAAAGGAGTTTTAGCAGAGATCTGCTAAGACAGAAGGATAAGGTTCATGGAAATTGAACCAGAAAGTTAAATTGTGCTTGATGAATGATGATGACAGTCTCATAGTATATAATAACATATATTTGGATGATGAAAACTGCACCTGATAAACTAAAATGTTAGCAGAATCTTCAGATGTGTCTGGAAGCTCCAAATGGCCATAGTTTCTTGCCTATTAAAGCACAAGGAGAACCCAATCCCATCACCAACACAATAGTTAAATAAATCAGTTACAGGAAACAAAAAGCTTAAGGTCAAATATTAGTATATTACTTGTAGTGCAAGAATTCCTTGGACCACATCAGAGAGATTGTGAATGTGAGGTGTCTTGAGACCAACATGGTGGATTTCAAAATCATCCTGAAAACAAGTTGGTCATCACATCAGTTCAAAAGGATTAGCAGTAAAAATAAAAAAAATTATATATATATATTTTTTTCATGATAATACCGTTGATTTTAAGTGTAGCTCCCAATCACTGACATCTGATCGTGATCCAAATGCCAACAGAGACTTCTCATGAATTTCTGTAACACTTCTACCTAAGCTCAGAGCATTTTCACCCTCATCAGCCACATAAAAGAAAAGATGTGCAGCATCTGGCATTTCTTCACTTAATCTGAAAACAGCAACAAAGAACAACAATACAGGGTAAATTGCTTGCAGTAGTGGAAATTGGAATTCAGTAGATGAAATAGTTTAGGAAAAATTGATCTATTTCAGTAGTACCAACAAAAAATCATTT